GCCACACTGTTTAATGGAAGTTGCCTCTGTTGCCACACTGTTTAAATGCAGTTGCCCTTGTGCCACACTGTTTAAAGGCAGTTGACCTGGATGTGACACTGTTTATAGGCAGTTGCCTGTGATGCCACACTGTTTGAAGGCAGTTGCCTCTGTTGCCACACTGTTTAAAGGCAGTTGCGTTTGTCTCCACGCTGTTTATAGGCAGTTGCCCTTGTGCCACACTGTTTAAAGGCAGTTGCCTGTGATGCCACACTGTTTAACGGAGGTTGCCTTCGTTGCCACACTATTTAAAGACAGTAGCCTGTGATGCCACACTGTTTAACGGAGGTTACCTTCGTTGCCACACTATTTAAAGGGAGTAGCCTGTGATGCCACACTGTTTAACGGAAGTTGCCTTTGTTGCCACACTGTTTAAAGGCAGTTGCCTTTGTCCCCACACTTTTTATAGGCAGTTGCCTGTGATGCCGCACTGTTTAAAGGCAGTTGCTTTTGATGCCACACTGTTTAAAGGCAGTTTCCTTTGTCCCCACAATGTTTAAAGGCAGTAGCCTGTGATGCCACACTGTTTAAAGGCAGGTACCTGTGATGCCACACTGTTTAAAGGCAGTTGCTTACTGTTTAAAGGCAGTTGCCCTTGTGCCACACTGTTTAAAGGCAGTTGCCCTTGATGTCACACTGTTTATAGGCAGTTGCCTGTGATGCCACACTGTTTAACGGAAGTTGCCTTTGTTGCCACACTGTTTAAAGGCAGTAGCCTGTGATGCCACACTGTTTAACAGAAGTTGCCTTTGTTGCCACACTGTTTAAAGGCAGTTGCCCTTGTGCCACACTGTTTAAAGGTAGTTGCCCTGGATGTCACACTGTTTAAAGGCAGTAGCCTGTGATGCCACACTGTTTAAAGGCAGTTGCCTGTGATGCCACACTGTTTGAAGGCAGTTGCCTCTGTTGCCACACTGTTTAAAGGCAGTTGCCTTTGTCCCCNCCACACTGTTTAAAGGCAGTTGCCTGTGATGCCACACTGTTTGAAGGCAGTTGCCTCTGTTGCCACACTGTTTAAAGGCAGTTGCCTTTGTCCCCACACTGTTTAAAGGCAGTTGCCTGTGATGCCACACTGTTTAAAGCAGTAGCCTGTGATACCCACTGTTTAAAGGCAGTTGCCTATGATGCCACACTGTTTAAAGCAGTAGCCTGTGATGCCACACTGTTTGAAGGCAGTTGCATATGATGTCACACTGTTTAAAGGCAGTTGCCTTTGTGATGCCACACTGTTTATAGGCAGTTGCCTCTGTTGCCACAATGTTTAAAGGCAGTTGCCTTTGTCCCCACACTGTTTATAGGCAGTTGCCTGTGATGCCACACTGTCTAAGGCAGTAGCCTGTGATGCCAGACTGTTTAAAGGCAGTTGCCTTTGTTGCCACACTGTTTAAAGGCAGTTGCCTGTGATGCCACACTCTTTGAAGGCAGTTGCCTCTGTTGCCACACTGTTTAAAGGCAGTTGCCTTTGTCCCCACACTGTTTATAGGAAGTTGCCTGTGATGCCACACTGTTTAACGGAAGTTGCCTTTGTTGCCACACTGTTTAAAGGCAGTTGCCCTTGTGTGACACTGTTTAAAGGCAGTTGCCATATATGTCACACTGTTTAAAGGCAGTTGCCTGTGATGCCACACTGTTTGAAGGCAGTTGCCTCTCTTGCCACACTGTTTAAAGGCAGTAGCCTATGATGCCACACTGTTTAAAGGCAGTTGCCTATGATGCCACACTGTTTAAAGGCAGTTGCCCTTGATGCCACACTGTTTAAAGGCAGTAGCCTGTGATGCCACACTGTTTAAAGGCAGTTGCCCTTGTGCCGCACTGTTTAAAGGCAGTTGCCATTGATGTCACACTGTGTAAAGGCAGTTGCCTGTGATGCCACACTGTTTAATGGAAATTGCCTTTGTTGCCACACTGTTTAAAGGCAGTTGTTTAAAGGCCGCTATGTGATCACGTTGGATTCAAACACACCTAACTCCTTCCTCCTCACATTCTTAACATGTGATGTGTGAAATTCCACAAAACACTAAAGTTAAATCAATGGGCCTGATGCAAACTTTGAACAGACACCAGAGACAACACAACACATCTGGTGTCAGCAGTTCACTTTGTGTTAACAGTTACATTCAAGGCGTTCATCACGGAAGTAGAACCTCACATCCATATGAGACGTGGTCCCTCCAGTCCTCAGAGGAAATGAATACAACTATCCACATTTACCCATCACACATAAAACCCTGGTTAAACCCATCAAGCAAGTCTGTCACTGAGTGGAGCTCATGCCTCCACCAAGGCCCAGCAGTCTCCCTCAATTCAATCAAGCTGCACCAAATTTCAAACACTCACAGAAACCAGTCCTCTAAATAATCCTGACTGTTTTCATCAGTCTCACCATTATAAAGAAAGAAAAGTCTCCTGGATCCGCCTTTAACAGGATTCCTGCCATAGTGTGATGAGTTTGTGGAAAATCAGTTTTTAGTTTTCTGGTGTAATTCTGCTGAAAAACCAACAAACTGATGAAAACAAGACCAAAAACATAAGAAAGAATCATAAAATCACGATACATAATGATTGATTTCCTTCTGCGTATTGTAATGACCACATTAATATCATGTAGAAGACACGAGATGAGTCACGTGGTGTTACGACACCCTCAAAGGCTCATCACAAAGACGTCCAACATGGTTCAGAGGGTAACAGTAAAAAAACAAGTCCATTCATTGCAGAAAAGACAAGAAGCTCAACAACAGGCCGGCAAAATGGAGAAAAGAAGGAAAAGCCAACACATCAACCCACAAAGAGTCGTAGGATCTAAGAATCTTCCTTCAACCTAAACCAACATCAGAACTAAAGCAAACAGAAATAAAGCCGTGAACACTGGACGACAGGACCCATCAGAAAAGAACAAGAAAAGAAACAACACAATAAAACTCTTGCTCTAAAGGTCATGCTGTACAAACTGCTGCTGCAACCGCGGATGGAAAGAGAGAGAGACTTCCTGTCCCCTCTTAAATACTTTCAGCGTCTTGTACGGATGTACTCTGAAGTCGTCCATCTTTGTTATTGTTGTCACAGTGGCTCTGATGCTTCACACCAGGTCTTCCTGCTCCTCTGTGTCTTCTGTCTCTGCTGCAGCCGTGACGTTCTCATACTCAGGACAATCGTCTGACTGATGGAGGAGAGATGATAAATATTAAGCCTCACTGGACTTTTTTCATGAAACCTGCATATAATCACAGTTCATTCCAAATGTTTAGAACGTTATAGCGCCCCCTGTCCATTTGTCTGTTTGTTTATCAGCAGGATTGAGCAAAAACATTTTGGGGCAGATTCAGACAAAGTAGCTGATCCAAGAAATGTTTTATCTCCTTCTTTAACATTGAGATGAAAACAGTGATACCCAGTGGTTCTTTTGGCCTCACTGTCTCTCACCTTCATCTCCACAGCTTCATTCACTTCTGATTTCAAGCTCAGAGTTTTCTTCATCCTGGATCCAAAACAACAACAAACAACATTTTACAAATGAACTTCAGAACTAAAACTAGTGTTTGAAGACATTTGAAGAGACAGTGAAAGAGCAGAGGGTGAACTGATGGATTTTTATTCTTGTACCTCGTCCACAGAGTCCAGACAAGCACTGGAACCAGCACGACCACCAGAGTCAGCCTGATGATATTCATGATTATTACTGACTCCCCTAGACAACAGATAGGAGACATTAGCAGTGTGGTGAGACTGATGACTCCGTTTGCCAGGTGATGCTGTTGGTCAGTCAGTATTGTTCATGTGCAATATGATGGGCTTGATATACAGCTATGAGACATCTGCAAATCCTGAGTATTGATGGTTTAAGGTTCTGGTGCAATGAAAAGGAGGCGGGGTGTAGGCTGTAAGAGTCACACTGATTCGGTTTGTTGTGAACCTGAACTTGTACACAGCTGAGTCTGTCTCTCTCAGGTCAGAGATTCTCAGAGTGCACTTGTTGTTTTCACAGAGATACTCCACACGACCTGAATACACAGACTGTGTTTTCAGATCCACATTAACATGATTTTCTTTAAACCAGAACGTTTTCTGAACTATAACTTCACGGTCATTCAATCTGGATGGGCATGTGTAGGAACAGTTAATGTCCACTGTTGATCCTCTGTGGACACAGATCTCAGTAGAAGTGTATCTCACATTCCATCCTCTCTGACTCCGTACCACTGTAACACAGAGCACATCAGAGAATCAGAAGATAAACTAAWACATTTATAAAACTACCTCCATGTATTTTCTCTGGTGAATCACCAGTCGGCAGGTTTTCATTTTAAGWTGATGATGATGTCAAGATGAGTGAACTTTCAGTGAACAAAGAATACAGGGAAGTGCCCTTTAGACTTCAGTGTGTGGGAGAAAACACAGTTGGAGGTGAGGAACATGAGTGACCTTGTATAAGTTGCTCTTCTAATGGAGCAAACTGGCCAATATGGAGGAAATGATCTGTATCTTTTATGCAGAGTCGACCAAAGATGGACGACACGTCTCCGTTTCCTCCCACGATCCAGAAATGAAGCCAAAATATCCTGGATACCAACGCTGCCATCTTTCACATTTGGAACCAAAGTCTGCACAGTAGTGATCCGGAGACGGAGCCACAGTATCAAGGTCCC